ACAACCACAGTAAAACAGCAATAAATGACAATTAACCAAAAAATACAAATTAAATAAGTTAAATAAAAGTGACTGTTAAAAATCAAAATTTAAATTAGTTTTTAAAATAACAGTTAAATAAAAAGGTCTTAACCTGGCACTGAAAAGAATATAAACTCGGCGCCAGGCAAACCTCTCCGGGGAGCACATTCCATAATCTGGGCGCCACCCCCGAAAAGGCCCTGCTCCGGGTCGATATCCTTTTTACTTCCTTCAGGGAGGGTTCCCGGAGCAGGGCTTCTCCCGCAGATCTTAAGGAGCGTGAGGGCATACAAGGAAGGAGATGTTCCTTCAGGTATCCTGGTCCCAAGCCGTCGAGAGCTTTATAGGTCAAAACCAGCACCTTGAATTGGGCCCGGACTTCAACTGGAAGCTGCCCTGTTCTGGTAATGTTCTGGTAATGTTTAGGGATGGATCTTGGGTTATCTAGTCTGATTCTCAGCACCGTCTGGGATCTCCAGTTCAGGGTGCAAATGCCGCGGCGGCTCAGGGGCAGGTCGCTGGCTTTGCACGCACGAGGTTCCAGCTTTGACCCCTCGGGACTGGAATGCCTCCTGGCTGTTGCTCTGGAGAGCTGCGGCTGCCAGTCAGTGTGGACAATACTGGGCTACTTGGACTCATGGCGGGACTCGGGGAAGGCAGCTTCTTGCGACTCACCTTGGAGAAGCAGACGTCCAGCTTGCCCTGAATGCCTCGGGCAGATGGTTCTCCATAGAGCGACCAATTCCATTGGGAATTTCCTCCCAGTGTTGCGCCGAAAGCCAATTCCCTGAAATCTGCCCCCGCCCCATGGGTCTTAAACGGCCCTCTGGGGCAGTGGAGGATGACCTTGTGCCCTTGGCAGCCTGCCAGGCATCGGAAGCACCCTCCATGTCCCCCCGAACCTTCTCACCTGGAGGCCAAACGGTCCCAGCTTCTCCAAGCCTTCCTCACAGGACCTGGTGGTTCAGGCAAGGACAGAGATGTGGGTTTGTTTTGCTGCTTGAGTCATGCGCACATCTGGCTCACAGCTGCAGCGACGCCTGTGCCCTGCACCACTTGGGTATCATCTCCCAGGTGGTCATCTTGCATCTACTTTTCGCATTTCCGCTTCCCCAGCGCACTGTTTCCCATGCAAGCCCCAGCAAGCACACCTTGTTCTGTCCCCGAAAACTCATGCCAGGAGAAATGTGTTTGTCATTTCAGTTGCCACAAACCACACAATTATTTTAGAGGCAACAAACGGGTGCAGCTACCTCTCCGGGTGCAATTCTGCGACTCTGTGGATAGAGAAAAAGAACGACGCTCGCTCTGGTGTGGTTCCCCAGCCTTCTCTGCTGTCTGTTTTGCTGCTCTTCTGGTTTTATCTCACATCAATTACAGCCGTTGCATCTTTTTAGATATGGCTTTATTGCCGTTTTATTAAAAACTGTTATGGGTGACTAAGTGTTGATGGTATGTGAGTATAAAACTCCAGAATGCATACATATTTCAACTTCAGCTAGTCAAATTAAGTAAATTCTTATGTTCTGGGAACAGGGAGATTCTAAACAAGGCGGCTAGAAGGGAAATAAATGCAAAATGTGACAATCAAAGTACACACCATGGTCATTCGGACTGGTAAAGCCAACATTCCAGTCTCAGACTTAATGGTGCTGCTACGGATGAAAGCTTTCCAAGATGTGCCGTCCAGGCAGTGTGCTAAAACTCCTTTATCCTGATTCAACCCTCTGGCAAGAGAATCGAATTTCTTCATGGTTTGGAACTCAGCGGGCCTTGAAGGCCAGTGACCGCATGACCTGGGAAACGGAAGCTTTCCGAATATCTCGAGGCACGTCTTCTAACTGCATGCGCCCCTGGAGCTTCTGAGGATATGGGAAAACCGCAAGAACGCCACACGGGGCTGGTGCGTTCCTTGCTTCCACATGCGGCTTTGAGGGGGTTTGTGTAATAGGTGGGTGGTGAGATTGTGTCTCTGCGATGAAGGCCTGTTGTCATCCAGCAGCCGAGACAACCGGCACAGGCCTCTTTTGCATGCTAAGCTAGGCTTGCAAAGACCCTATTGGCCCCTGTGCAGTGACTAATTTTTGCTGCCTTAGGTACACACCTCAGGCAATTAACCAGCTACTGAGAAGAAGCACACCTGGCCAGTCAGGCTTCTAGTGGAATTGTGCTATAGTTGCCAGAGAACAGCTTTAAGAAAGCAATTAAATGCAATCGGGCATTTCATAAAGTCGTCATATGGAGAGGCAGTACTTCTGCCAGCATCTCAAAAGACAGGGCCTCACTGGGGCCCCAAAACGGCTCCCGCCTTCTCAAGAGCTCAGGTGCGTCCGTGCCTCAGCCTCCACGCTGGACTAAGTGGGCATTCCCTGTAAATTCAGGGAATTGCAGTTCTGTGCTTGGATGGGGCTCTCTCTGTCTAAGAGAGCGTCCTGGCTGAACTGCAGCCCCCTGGACCTGGGTCTCGCAGGAAGGCCTGATGGCCAAACTGATCCAAGACCTGGCAAGTCTGTCGCCTTTGCGGGATTCTTCAGCGATTACCTCAGTCAGCTACAGATGCCCTCCTCCGGGAGCCCTCCGTGAATGATATTAGGAGGGTGAGGTCCCGGAGGAGGGCCTTCTCTGCGGTGGCGCCCCACTTATGGAACGCGCTCCCCAGAGAGGTCCGCCTGGCGCCGTCGTTATTTGTTTTTCAGCGCCAGGCGAAGACCTTTTTATTTAAAACTCATTTTAATTGTTAATTTATTTGTATTTATAGGATTTTAAATCTTTAAGCCGAGATGCACCGGGTTTTAATATTTTTACTGTTTAATGGTTATACTTACGTACTTTGTTTTTGTCGTGAGCTGCCCCGAGGCTTTGTTGCGATGGGGCGGCATAAAAATGTTTTAAATAAATGAATAAATAAATCATGTTCGAAGGCACCTTTCCACCCTCCCCCTGCCTGAGGGAGAGACGCCCCTGCTTAATGCGTGCTCACAGGATCAATTCCCGGCTTCTCCAAGTCGGGCCGGGAATATTCCCGCTTGGAAAGGCTGTGCCAAGAAGACCAGATGAGATGGACCAAAGACGGACGCTTCCAGAGCTTCCAGCGTGTAGCTTATCAATTGCCACGTGTCTTTCCTTTGCACCTCACTCAGGGGCATCCTGCAACATGGTGGGATTCACCTCCGAATCCTACACCTGTGCTGCAGGTGCCTCCGTGACTCCGGCATGCAACATGTCAACTACATCCACAGGACTCTTCCTCTTTGACTGACACAATCTGGCAACCTGGTCCTGGCCATTCCAGCTGCTGCTGCTGGGAGTTGTCGTGCGAAAAATCTAAATGTTGGACACGCTCCTTGTGAGCCCACCTTGTCGGATTCAGGTAACAGAAGACGTCTCAAGGACTGAGTAGGGTGGTTGTTGAAACGTGGGTTCTCTGAGCCAGCTATGCTAGCAACCCGTGGCTTGCTAACCACAAATAAGCCATGAAGAGAACGCATGGCTTGTTGTGGGTTGTTGGCCACGGGCTGCTCTCTCAGCCGACAACCCATGTTTCAGCGGCTTCCCAGTTCAGCCCTTGGCTGTGGGTTACCCTGATCACTCCAGGTGCTCCAGGTGGCTTGGCTTTTCTGGGACCTCCTCTGGCTGGAGGCTTCGTGGCTTCTCAGCTGGAGGGCTACGTCCCGCTCTGGAGGTGCCGGTAAAGTGGCACTCGGAGGCAGAGACGAGGCCAAGCCCTGGGGGGAGCCGTTGAGAGGCATGGGTGTGCCGTGTGGAGGCGACACACCGCACCGCTTTTCCAACCTGCCGTTTGTCACCTTGCCAGGATCCCAGGGCGGCTTAGGAGGTTCTGCCATGGAGAGCAAAGGTACTTTCCGTGGCTTCTCAGGTCAGGAGTCAAACCAAGGGGTTCAGATGGTTCACAGCAGCAGACAATTCTGCCCCGCAAGGCTGGGGAGTCGCCTTCATTTTGGGCATGGATGAGACTTTGCGGCTCTTCAGATGTTTTCGTCCTGCGACTATCTTGGCTACTGGTGAAGGGAGCTGCAAGCCGAAACATCTGGAAGGCTGTCACTCATCCCTGATTTAGAGCATGAAAAGGAATATGCAGCCCTGGGTTTTGTAGTCCAGGGAATATTTGTAGTCCCTGGACTATAAAACCCATCAGCCCCAGCCAATGCTGAGATGAGATGGGAATCGTAATTCAGCAATATTTAGAAGGTAATCCATTCCCCTTTCTTCTTTGGAGGTTTTTAAACGGGGCCTGGATGGCCACCCATCTAGGACAGCGTTAACATAGATTTCCTACCGGGGATTTGACTAGATGACCTCTGAGGTTCCCTTCCAATTCTATGATTCTATCCACAGGCACAACTCCGCTCAGAACTCTTGCAAACCAAACCAGGTTTCCAGCAGTCAGAAACAAGGACGTGCAGTTACAGGGCCTTGCTTGCTATTTCAAACCCCATGAACCATAAACACCTTCCTCTCAGCTGTGTTTTAAAGAGTTCCCTTAAAAAGGAAGGGGGGAAAGACATCCTAAAAGACTGGAGGCTCATCCAATTCTACATGTGGACAATACTGTCTCTTCTCTCCTGTCCGTGTCTGGCTAAATGTATATTAAATGTTCCGGGTTAATAAACATTCTGCTGTGTATTTTGAGGAAACATAATACAAGGTCATGTCCACTCAAGATTAAATTCAGATGCCCCAAAATAAGGCATTCTGGCAACATCTCCTCCCGTTGTCTGTCACCTCTATTTTAACCTTTTGTATTAAGGAAAAAAAAAGGGCACAACCCTACACAAATTTAGACAGAAAATATCCTACAACAGTCCCACCTGGTCAGGCAATGATGGGAATTGTTTAGATTTTAAAAATCCTGCACACATGGGATTGTGCCTTTTAAATATTTTACACAAACTGAAATTATCTATACTTCCTCATGCGCCCCAGGGAACCGCAAAAGAACAGGAATGTTTTAACATAACTTTGTGTGATGTTTGATTCATTTATTTTTTATATATAAAAGCATTATTTGTAGATGAAAGAACACACGTGAGGCATAAAATTATAAAAACAAAAACAGAATTATATAAACCAGCTAACTGGTCATTACATTAAGATTAACTCTACTAAACTGATTAACAAAGAAACATAGTCAATTTTCTAGCAATACAAAATTCGTGTGTGCATGTGATGCTGTGAAACTTATCTATGTACAGTGTCATTTATGGCAGAACCTACATCAAAAAAGAATTCCTTTTTAATTTCTAAATGCTGCCATATCTTTTGGCAGGGGATGGTTTGATAAACCAGAGCATCAAGCTTAGGAATGAGGGCTTGGGGAATCGGGAGACAGAGTGTGAAGGCAGGTAGGTGGACTATTAAATTCACACCATCCTGGGCTTAAGTGAAGCTACGATTTAGCCCAGGAACATAAGAACTACGAACAACGCCTCTGAGCATATCCAGAGTACTGTGCTTTCTCCTTCAGGCCCAATAACCAGAAGCAGCCTTTAAAATTAATCAGCAAACCTCACATTTTGAAAATGTTTAGGCACACGGCCAGCCTGCAAATAACATGCTAACCTTTTTGGAATAGCCACATAATGGGTTGATTTGGATGGAGGGCGATGAACAAATGCAGATTTAAAAACTGAACCAGAAATCGTTTTACCTGAGTGTAATCCTACTAAAAGCAGTGGGATTGCAACACTGGAAGCAGATGCTGGGTCACTGAAAAAAGACTTTCTCGTCTGAAAACACGACAAGGTCTTTGAAGTAGCCATGGAACAGAAAAAAACACACATGTCCTACACGGGGAAAAGGCTGTGCGGATTGTGTGTGTCGCAGCTGACCTTTTTCTGCCTCAAAATGCATCAGGCTGCACCCTGATTTGGGTTAAATGTTTGGGCAAAAATATTATTACTAAGGGAACAATTTTCAACCAGGCGATCACACCAGGTTGTAATAAGGTGACATGATGAAAATGCTAAAAAAGTCTTCTCGGTGCAGATGCCCTCAGATACATTGGATTACAAGTCCCATGATCCCTGGCTGGCACAGCCAACGTTGTTGGAATCTGCACATTCCCTGTGAGGAGTAAGTCGAACTCTTGCATTAAAACAGGTAAAATGACAACGCAGATTCAGCAAAATATTATCTGATTTTGGGAGGTCCGTTCCTATTTTGGGAACTTTCTCTGCATCAGTGGAAACCCTGTAGCCTTGTGGTTTGATGCTCGAAAAATATATAATCTATAAATATAAATTGAAATAGTGAAAGGAGGCCAAATGGGGTTGAAGCCACAAAGACAAGCTTGCTGCTCAAAAATAATGGCAGAATGCAAAATTAATATTTTAATATTAATTAAATATTAATTAATTAGAAAATAATTGCAGAAAATAATAAAGATTTGTTATTGTTTGCTGGCAAGCAGAATGCTAATTTACTTGCACTCGGTGTTTTGAAAACTAATCCTGCTTTGTAGGAGAATAAAGCGTTGTGTGTTTAGGAAACGGCTCATTTCTAATCTGCCTACAATTAGGAGCAGCAGCAGATCATGGCCACCCTGGCTGGGAATTATGGGACTTGTAGTCTGAGCCATCTGGAAGGCACCAGTTCTCCTTCCCTTTATCCTTTGAAGAGCCGGTGAAACACTGAGAGAGAAACCTGAGCAGAGACTTTCCGGAAAGCAGCTCATGGCAAGTTCAGCACTGCTGGGAGAACGGGCGATGTTGATAAATTAATTACCTATCAGAGAGAAAACTCTACGTTATCTCAGTTCGGACTGAGCAACCCTGAGGAGAAGCGGCAGGAGGCAGGAGAAGCCTGAAGACCTTTCTGCGTCCCATGAAGCACTCCGAGTCCGTCCTCCGCCGGTCCCGCGGGGCTGATCCCTCCTCTCGGGTCTAAGAAATGCTGTAGCTGTTGTAATATGTGGCTGTGGCGTCGGCGAGGACAGAAATAAGGCTGGTCTCCGAGGAATGAGCGCCGCCGGCCGCCGGAGACACCTGGACGTGCCCGCTGGCGAGCAGCCCGCTCGGCTCCGCATCCCCGGGCGCGCTGAGGTACTGGTCGAACTCGGTGCGGTCCATGTCCTCCAGCAGCTCGGCGTGGCTCAGCGGGTCCAAGCCGTCGAAGTTCTGGTGCTCGGGGGGAGGCGAGAGCTGGCCCAGGGGGGCATGGGCCCCGGGGGCCTGGAGCGGGGGCTGGAAGGCCGGGGCGTAGTAGCTGCTCGAGGACGGGTGCGGGCACCCGGAGGGCGTGCGGTGGACGGGGGCGGCCACCCGGCCGAGGGGGTGGCCGCACTGCAGAGGGCTGGAGGAGTAGTCCAGGGGGTAGGGGTTTCCGGGGAGGTGAGGGAGGTGGGTGTCCTCGGGGCAGGGGGAGGAGAAGAAGGTCTGCTCGGGGTCGATCACGTCCAGCGGGGACCCCTCGGGCGGAGTGGGCAGGCCGTAGGGATACGTGTCCAGGGGGGTGCCGGCGCCGCTGCCCGGACCCTCCCGGTACCTCCCGAGGCTCGGCAGGACCGAGGCGGGCGAGTAGCCGGCGTGCCGCTCCTCCTTGCCCAGCGCCCTGCCGCAGGGCCGCTTCTCCGGCAGCGGCTCCGGATCCCGGGCGAGGCCCCCCAGCAGGAAGCCCGGGTCCACCCTCTTGCAAAGACGCTTGACCTGCTTCTTCCGGCGGGGCCGGTACTTGTAGTGGGGGTAGTCCTGCATGTGCTGCAGCCGCAGCCGCTCCGCCTCTTCCACGTACGGCCTCTTCTGAGACGGGGTCAGCGACTTCCAGGACTTCCCTGCGAGGGCGAGAAGAGAGAGGTTTCCCCCTTGTTACAGCGCATGGGAGACACGGAGGCAAAGACGTGGGCTCGCTGCCATGTGCTGCGTTCTCCTCTCTCGGTTCGCGACATCGTCGGCAGTTTAGGATCGCCCGCATGTGCGGAAGGAGGTTTGGGGCTGGCGGGAGCGCCGTCCAGCGCCAGGTGGGCACAGGCCGCGTGGCTGGGAAAGGGCCCGCGAAGGCAGGCGGCAGGTCCTTTGCCTGGCACTTGCGCGTGCACGCGTCCATTTACGACTTTTCCTCTACCACCATCTGGGGTAGAACAAGATCAAACCAGAAAATCATGGGAAGGCCTACAACTCCCAGCATGCCTTGGCGAGCATGGCCCCATCCTGTGCCTGTTTAAACAGGGTGCGGGGAAAGGCCTACAACTCCCAGCATGCCCTAGTGGGGGCATCCTGGGAGCTATAGCCCCTTTTTCCTGCCTCGATTCTGATTCAAACAAGGACAAATACATTATCCCAATTCTTATCAATTCTCTTTGCCTTCATTATGACACCAGGGATTTTCGTCTGAACGTGCTGCGCCTATCGACAGACCTGCAAAAAATACTAAAATAACGACAGTTCAACTCTGAGGGCAACCTAGCCAGCATTCCCATGGAAATAAACAGAGTTGGGTGGAAGAACCTTCCTCTGGGACGCACCCAGCCAAGCAGGGCTTTTCTTCCTCATTTTGCACCCATGCTTTGCTGTCCTGCCAGCCCAAACCAGCTCACAAGTTTCTAGCCCTCTCCCATTTTATCCTCACAACAACACTGTAAGGTAGGCCAGCCCGAGGGCACAGCGCCAGTCTGAGGTCAGGCAGTGACCTACTACGGGGAACTCCTTTCTGGCCGCAGCATCAGGCACGTCGAATGTATAATCAAGCTAACGGCAGGCAGCAGCCTTATGCAGCAACCTTTTAATCCGCCCGGGTCTTCCAGATTGTTTGAGATAGGTAAGGGTGTGATTCCTATGTATGTCAGACAGAAAAAAGTTCAGTGACTTCCAGACTTCCCCATCCAACCATGTGGAGAATTGCAGGATAGTTTTTTCATTGCACAGTGTCGGAGCAAATACCCACAGGCATCTCTCCCTCCCTTCTGTCCTTGTCTCCCACGGACTGCAAGCTGCGGCCCTGCCTTGCGGAAAAGAAAAAGATAATAAAATCGCACGTGGCTTCACCTTCCACCAACATTTAAACATGAATGTTTAATTGACGTTCATTGTATAAATTAGTTAAAGCACTGGAGCATTACTTTATGAACAGTGGTGCAGAGAAGGTGGATGAGACTTCTCTTTTTCTTAGAAATAGGAACCAGTTTGATACTAGAGAACGCATGAATGAAATCTCTATCGTAGGTTTTCCGGAAGGCCAAGGGCTTCTAGTGACACGCAGCTTGGCATCCAAAAGAGGAAGAACGTACAAGAATTCAGCCTATTCCAACTGAGCTACTTGCTGGGTCTTTCTTCACAATTACCCAGCTTCCCATTCTAGACAGCATCCGTATATTCAGAAATTCACAATTCAGTGAAAGATTTTAAAGTCAAATTCTAGGGCGAGTGACATGAGAGAGCCTTGGGGTTGGACACTGAAAGGAGTTCCATCCGTACACCCAAACTCAGCTGGGAAATAACAGATTCCCGTTTGTGAAAAATCAATGTATTCTCTCCAACGTAGTTAACATATTTGTCAAGGTTTGTTTGCAAAGAGTCCTTTTGACTTTGGAGGGCCATGATGCTGACGCGAATGTATGAAAACAGAAAGGAGAAACGAGGACGGCACCTTCAGCCAATCTAAGGCCAGGTACCGCAAGAGACAGTGGCCTGAAGAAAGAGGATGAAACGCCATTTAATAGGAAAAAGCAAATGTAACTAACACATCCGTTATTAATTAATTGATTAATTAATTAAGAGCTCTCGTAGGAGTGCAAGCCTGTGCCTATTTTTCTCAGAGTAAGGCCAACTGGGAATCGCATCTGATTGCCGAGGATTGCGCTGTTTATGTAGTAAGGAACGGAAAAGGAACCTGTGGAGATATCCTCTCCTCCCAGCAATGAGTAATCGTTTTCGTTCATTAAACTGTGGACAGCCCCAAATGCTTCCTTTAATCTGTCCCAAAGAGCACAGATATTCTCAGCTCCTGCACGCCGCACAGTTGGAAAAGCAGTCCAAACCGCAGTGTGAAATTCCAGAATTTGGCTTTAGGTGCTGATCTGGAGAGTCTCAGAGAGGGAAATCTGCATCTGGATTCCCCTGAGATGGGAATCTTGGACCAGAAGAGGGGAACTGCATTTTCTTTCACCTTTGCCTCCAGACCCTTCAAAACCTCTTGCCCACAGACCTCTGCACTGCCAGATAAAAGAGGGGATACGCCCCCAACTCTTGGACGGAAGAGAAGTCTCACTCCCAACTTCAGGGCTGCCACATTTTTCCCTGAAAGAACACCTGTGCCATCAACTGCTGTTTGAGAGGCAGCAATTCAAGAGGTACTGTTCTTCCTGGCACAAAGATTCAGGAGCAGAGATGCACCTGCTGAATTTTAACCTGTTCTGAGAGTAAGGAAGCTGCAGAGTCCTATGGGGTGGGGGGGGGCAGAGGGGAGAAGGCAAGATATTCCTTTCCCTCCACTGAGTTTCTGCCCCTCTCCCTCAACTGCTTTGGGAATTCCACAACCATGGGGAGATCTATTCGCACTCCGGTTCTCCTAAGACTAAACAGGAAAATCAAAACCCCAAATCAATGCCTGGACCTAAACCTCTTTTTGCTCTTACACAGCAAAAATTAATCTTCTCAAATCTGCAACTCAAGCATGCAAATTGAGTAATTTGCATAGGTAAGTCCGGCTTATGTAATTTATCAACAGCACAGGATGTCTGGCCATACACTCTGGCGCACTGATGTTGCTAATACTAGTACTACTACTATTTTATATAAAGATCTTCCAGCACTCAAGATATTTCTAGTAACATTTCCTTTGGTTGGTGAGGGCCAATCCTGCATAAGCAATAGCCTAGAAAGCAGCAAGGTGACCGGCTATGAAGAACTCTCCAAAGATCTCTCCAAATGAAATGCAACATAATTGTTATGCATTTCATGCAACTGCATTTAATGTACAGATGGGACTAGAAAGGGCAGTAAATATACCAGTAACAGAGCGTAGGCTCACCCTGGTGAAATTGCTGCCTCAACTGGGCATGTAGCAGCTGTGAAAACGCAGGGGTTTTAGGAAAAGCAAGGAATTTTCGGGAGGTGAAAGTAAAGCTTCCAAGAGTCATTTTTTTTTTTTTTAGCAGCTCCCTTGGAATAGTTCTGCCACCCAACAGTGCTGGGAAAGGTTAAAAACCGGATGCCCGGATAACAGGCTTACAACTGCCCCCCACGAAAGAAGGGTTTAGTTTAGAAAGAAGACTAAAGGGGGGATGCACTGGAAATTGTGGCGTAACTGATGCGACTTCCTCTGACTTCAACATCTGAGAATGAAAAATCAAGCAAAATTCCTCAGACCCTTAAAGACAGTTATCGCTACCTGTTCCCTCTCTCAATCCTCTATGCCCAACAGATATTCATGTGGAAGACAATCCCATCGAAATCAATGGGGTTTATATCCAGGTAAACATGGTTATGATCAGGCAATACGAACTGAATATACTTGGAAGTCGCTGGCACCCTTTATTTAGGAAAAGGCGGCTCAGGATAACTGCTTAGAAACAGCACCTGCTTTAATCCAAGTGGAATTTGTTTTGCAAGGAAGCACGGTTAGGATAACAAGGGCTGAAATCCTACACAGGAATAAGCCCCATTGCACTCAGTGGGTCTCACTCATTGCACTCAATGGGGATCACTTTGTCCCAAGTCAATGCTACAGGATTGCAGCCCGAACAGTATTAAAAACTGACACTGAAAACAAACTGGGATTGCTACCTAGCAGCGCAAATAAATTTCTATTAGAGAGTGCCATAATAAATAAATAATTCCATTTCTAAAGGAACTACTCCTTTCTACACAGAGGACAAATTCAAAGTGAGGGCGAGTTTAGGGAGTCCTACAGAAAGTAACCCTGCTGAAAGGAATAGCACTTTGAGTTAGATTAATTTTGGATGGTGTTTGGTGCTTCCCAGACCAAATAGTTAGGATGTTCGTAAACTGCTTTTCTTTGAGGCCGCCAAGGTCTGAATTTGTTCATCTTACCCTTATGCTGAAGGAATTTTATAGTCTTTACTGGGGCTTCACAAGTGTTTAGCATTTCAGGCACTTACTACTGACGTGTAATGAGTTAAATTTTAGTAACTTGCTTTGTCTAAATCCCTAGCAAATGCAACCTAAACATAAAGAAAAAAACCTTCGGAAGTTGCCTTTTTTGGTTCAGTTCTACATGATATAAAAACCCCTTTCCAATTTCTGCCAAAAGCAGTTCAGTGCTATCTTCCCTTGTGCGGCCAGTCCAACATTAAAGTATCCCCAAACTTTCACTGATTGCTATTTTTAAGCGTAAAATCCAGCCATGCTTTTAAATTTCCCCAATTAAAAATAAGAGCGTTGCGATATGTATGATGGAAACGAAATGAGAAAGCTCAAACATGACAACGGCTACAAGCATCCCACAAAACAATCCGATTATTTTCTTCTGTTTTAGGATGCCGTGTCCTGTCACTTCACAAGAAAGAAACAAAAAAATCTACTGAGAATCATGCCCTTTCTCTATTTTGCAAATTCCTAACACCAGTTTTACACGATTTGCCGACTTCATCCCAAGGTACCTTTCTTTTAAGTAGTGAGACCTTATTTAACTTCGGAACCCAATGGGATTGAAGCAGCCGTGTGCCAAAACGAAACAAGGAGCCTGATTTTCTAAACAAGCTTCCAGATAACAAGCCCTTTTCCCCAGTTCCACTTCTGATCTTTTTTGCAAATGCGAGCGAGCGAAAGATAAAATTTCTCCACTGCTCCAGCTCCCCCCCTAAACTCTTTGGTTCAACAAATACGCGTGGCCAAACGACCTGAAATGGATTACGAATGGGGGGGGGAGCGCCCCACAATTTATTATGGGGCACTTTTACATTGGGAAACAACGCCGTGAACGCCCCGGACTTGAAAGCAACCCCCACGCCCTGAGAATTGCAGAAAAGAGAAGTCCCCTTCGACCCAACGCGGGGGCGAAAACGCGCCCCGACGGCCGAGCTTTACGCACGTGCTCCGGGCCCCTTCCGAGGTCAAAAGGGGCTCGGAGAGGCAGGCCGGGCACTCCTGCTCGATCGGTGAACCACCCTCGGGCCGCGCCTCCGGCAGGGCGGCGCGCACGGCTTCTTTCCGCGCACCGGCCGCGCCGAGAAGCCCCGGGGCCGCGCCGGGAAGGCGCGCAAGCGAGCGCGAGCAGCGCGGCGCACCCACCCAGCATCTTGCTCAGCTCGGCGTTGTGCAGGTCGGGGTTCTGCAGCGCCAGCCGCTTCCTCTCGTCCTTGGCCCACACCATGAAGGCGTTCATGGGGCGCCGGATGCGGCTCTCGGCAGCACCCTTCTCCCCGCGCGGCGCCGCGGGCGATCCGCCGCCGCCGCCGGGCAGCTCCAGCGCCGGGCACTCCAGCCGCTCCGCCCACGCGTACGAGCCCAGCAGCGACGCCATGCCGGGCAGCGGCGCGGGCACCGCCGCGCTCGCTCTCTCGCTCGCTCGTCCCCCTGCTCGCTCGCCCGGGCTCCGCTCGACTCCGCTCCGCTGCGCGCCAGCCCTCCCGCCGCCGCGCTGCGCGCTATTTATGCGCGCCCGCCCGCGCGCCCCGCCCCGCGCCCCGCCCGGTCGCAGGGAGCGCAGGGCGGAGGCGACTGGCGTGCCCGGATCCTGCGCCGGCCCCCTCCGGCCGCGCCCTCGCGCCCCGGGCGCTGCCCGGGAAGCGGGCGAGAGCGCTCCTGGGCATGCACAGGGTGCCTCTGCTTCGCCGGGCCGTGCTTCGGGCAGGGCTGCAAGCCGCCGGCCTCGGGCTGGCCGGGAAAAGTGCTGGCTGCTGCAGGGAACGAGGTGGGAGACGGCGGGCTCCCTCCGCGCTGGGCCCTCGCCTTCTGGCCTCCCAGTGGCCCACGAGTGGGCGGGAGGGCCGCCGCACTGGGACAGCCCCCCCCCCCCCGTGCTCGTGCCGGAGCCGCGCGCAGACGCGTTCCCGAGTCCATCGCTGCGCCAAGCGCTGGGGGCAGATCGCCCTTTGCCTCTCCTGGTCTCCCAGCATCGGGCTGCTCCGCATGAGTCTCCCTTCTACAAATCCATCCCTAATATGCCTCATTTCCCTTATTTATCCCGACTAAGACTCACGCGGTCCTTTCGGAGCCCCCTGTGCCTGGGAAGGTAAATAGACAAGCTTTCCTTTTATCGTTGAGCATCATTTTCTAATCAGCTGCCCGTATTTTCTAGCACGGCATGTTTACCCCTTTTGCTTCCTCGGAGGATCCTCTCCCCATTTGGTTTCCCAACAACCTTGCAGGGTTGGCTAAACTGAGACTCGGAGGAGATCAGCCCAGCTCCCCGCGTGGGCTTTATGGGCTTAGCGGCATCAGGGCCGCCACTTTCCCCGCCAACTTCTCGGGCTCGCCTGTTATCTCCCATGTTGAGGTTTCGGTGATACGTGCATTATTTGCGGTTATTGGTGGGTGGGTTAAAATTGAGGTGGATTAGCGGGTCACTGGGAGGTCATTTAGTTCAAGGCCTTCCCCAAAAGGGAAGAAAGACCAGCAGCCACTCCGAGAGGGAAATCCTGCGGTGCGTTGCCACGAAATGAGTCACGACGCAGATGCGAGGCGCGCAAGAATGCATTTCGCAGTCGGAACCACACTTCCGAGTGGGGAAGCCGCGCGCGCGCGTGTGTGTGTGTGTGTGTGGCGGGGGTGTTATATCTTCAGGATGTGGTTAAGGCCTCGATCTGGCAGCATTACGAGTGGGAATTGGCTGTTACGGACGGCAGCCCCTATAATCTCAGAGCATCAAATGCTTAGATTAAAGTTTAACGTTCTCTTAAGGTATTACACTGTCACTTGCAAGCTAATGTGAGGTCAGCGTAAATGGATTTTCCATGCCCTTTGGACAGATAAAGGCACCATCCTATGCAAGGGGCATGCTGAGAATTGTAGGCCTTTTTCTTGGCCTAAACTTGCATGCAGCTGCACCTTAGGTGGATTTTACAACTCAGGAAGATAAATTCAACTTCCTAAAAGACAATGGATTGAGGACTTTTCAACATTGAACAGGGCAATTTAAACACCACCTGCACAGGAATATTTTATTTATTTTATTTATTTATTTATTAAAACATTTTTA